CACACACACACACACACACACACACACACACACATACACACACATACACACACACATACACACAGACAAGGTCACCGCAATATGTGTTTTTGCAATTTGCATATAAGCAAAAACGCATAAAAAACAATGGGCAGCCTATTCAAGGGTGAGATTTATCTTTAGATATGCAACTTATTTCTCTTTAAAAAACGAAATTCAGTTAATTTTTTTCTAACGTATTATATATTGCTAGCATGTAAGCAATTATGGTCTCTACACACCGTTCCACAGCACTTCGCATCACCGTTATATAAATTAGCGACGATATGAACAATTTCAGCTTCCATTTTACGACATCCGGGAAAAACGTCTGGATGGAGTGGATTCGAGTAAGCATATATACCAAAAATCTGAAAAATATAGACAAAACAGTGGAAGAATTTTGCAGTTATAAAAACAAATTTTCAGACTAGGGCACAGGAAAAGGAAATCCATTTAAACCAAAAAAATTTTGCTCATTCAGCAGTTTTTTGTAAAATTTATGTACTATGAATACCAAGATCGCTCGAGCTATAAGTGTGAATATCAGTTGTTAGTGTTGTTACTGGGATGCTTCTACACAAACAGCACAGCTATGCCAGCTCTTTTCATCCAGAGCCGCATGCTTCCAGTCAGTATCCACTGTCTGTTCGATGTGCACGAGTCACCTCTTCGCGCGCCGTGGCAGTTCACTTCCTCGTGAGTACCACTCGTTAATGAGCGACGTTCGCCAGTTATCGGCTGGTCCTTTTGCAGTGCCGGGCAAAATCGAGGTCCCGATTTGTTCGGTTCGTCATCATGTCAAACACTTATACCGAAGATACTGCATGATGTTCTACTAGTTTTTCGGACAGGATGACCCATGAGTTCATTCCTCGACAGCGGCTTACAACTGTAGGTGCATACCGAGAGATCGAGTCCATTCGGTGGGACATCCGTACAGCACTTGTGATTTTCAGGAGCCCCTCGTCCTTGGGTCGCAAACTCACCGCGACAAACCAGATCAAAAACCGCGCAAGGCACTGAGGCTCATTTTTATTTTCTTTCATTCATGTTGGTCCCATAAATGCGTTTGTTTAGCGCACATTTACGTTTCCGCTTGACTGCATTACCAACCGCTGGTCAGTCTGACAATGGTTCGTACCACTCATGCTTAGCCGGACACGCAGTGCAGTGTATTCTCGACATGCTTGTAGCTGTCAGCATTGTGTATCGTCGTGCCTTGACACAATCCGTTGCCACTCCCATACCACGATGAGCTGCACGAGTTGGGATTTTGCGAGAGAAAGTTCGCATAATAACACAAGAAACTGTGGAAAACTTCCAGTGAGATTAGTCCATTTTAATGATACGAGAAAAAAAATCATGATATGCGGGAGGCAGGTTAAATCCTGAACTCGGTGCGGTTTATAAATACCACAGCGTTCGTACTGTTTCAAGCGTTAAATAACCGAGACGTTTCAATCCACTGGATCTATACGATTAGTTTCGAGACTGTAATTTCGTTATTAATGAAGCATGTTGTTCTCCGAATTTGTATAATTCGCTTTACGTTGGAATAAATAAATTATATTAAAAGTAGTATAATTTTTCCGGGTACATGGCCGCCCCTCTTCCTAGATGAATGATGCATCCGAGTCTGCTTACGATGTGACACGCAAGTGATCTGGAACTTTGAAATTTTGTATGTCGAATTTTGGATAGCCCAACTACCAAGTTTTACGGCTCCGAATCGCTCCAACAACAACGATCCGCTGCCAAAACAGCAACTCCCATAAAAAACGTTTTAGAAGTGGTCAAACGTTACCCACTCTTCCCCTCCTCCCCTCCCTGTATTCGCTACGACACGCTAAGGCTCTTGAAAAGTACCTCGAGTGGTAACAAATGTTAAAAGCAGTCATTCATTGGCAAGGCAAAACGTCAATGGCTTCCTCATCTGTGGGTTGCTTACACGCATGTTGATGGCGACCCACAGGATAAAAGCAGAACACGTGCTGTGTTGTTTAGCGTCGGCAGTACAGTAGTAGGGAATGAAACCACTGGCGACGCGCACCGGGTGGGCCGTGCGATCACGCGTTTTTATGCGTTTTTTGCAACTATGCAATGCAAAAACGCATATTGCCCAGGGGTTGTCTGTGTGTGTATGTGTCTGTGTATGCGTCTGTAAC